GGAACGCCGCGGGACGTGACAAAACGTCGGCATGTTACGCCTCGGGAGTGAGAACGGGCTCACTTATGAGGTTAGTGAGACAGAAATTAATTGTAATCATGAAATTTGAACACTAGCATAGGACCCCTTGGTTTTGCATTCACGTTGGGACAGCTGCGGATCAAACATTAGACAGGAAAGTGACGCAGTGCGAACTCTAACCCAAGAAGCTAGAGGAAGTATCCAGCTTTCATTACACGGCTGAAGAGCGACTGAAGAGTTAAACAGAAAGCTCCCAACGGGAACAGCAGACGACCCGAACCTCCAACTTCCTAATGTTCACTTTGTGGGTCTTTAAAACTGGACTGTTGTGTTGTGGTGGCTGTGGCTGGTGCATTAAGGTAACAGCACCATATGACATCTTGTAGCATCTGACAAAACAGGATTATTTTCTACCCCAGGACAGCAACGTGCTGGCATTCGATGCCTTACTTTGAGAATGTGTTGGCTGTAATTTAACCAGCTGCTAAGAGAAGTGTCGATCTTCTCGTGTAACTGCAAATTCCCAAAATGTCAAACTATTTATTGGTAAAGTTTGACAACCTGCCACAATAGCCCTACATTTAAATCTTTAATAAGGAATACAGTATTTACAGTGTCAACACAGAGCGTACCATCGTCACAACTTTTTAAATGAACTTCATACGTTGCTAGCTGACTCGATACCAAAGAGGAGCAAAGGACTTTCACTGTTTCGGGGAATGCAGGTGATAAATATGTTGTTGGATGTTCAAAGAAATCATTGGAGACGATTCTCGTCATTATCCTTCACTGTGTGGAAGGATGCCTATTGATCGGAGAGTCTGCCACCGGGGAAAATGTTCCGGGGGGATAAAACGGATTCAGCCTTCAGCTGAGTAAAGTGAAGTGTTTTAAGTAAAGTGGTGATCACTTCACAAAAGTTTGTCCTGGCTAGACAGAAGTGTTAGTCAGAGACCTTTACATTAGACAGACTCACATTTTAAACCTTCATGTGACAGTTGCGGTGAAGAGGAAGAAATTGGGAAAGGAGACCTGGGGAGTGGTGTGCAGCAAATAGCAGGGCTCGCTGCTCGTGAGTGATAGAAACCTGCCATTGCATTAGTTATCAGTCTACTCATTCTGTTCATTGCTTTTTCTCTTAACTGCCTCCCTTTTCCACTGCATTCAAGGCTGAGGAGCCGGGACCTGTTGCGTT